CCCTCGAGCTCAAAACCACTGCTCTGTGTTATCTTGAGGGTATTGCACATACTCATTCAATGAGAAGAGATATTTTTGCAAAACCTTAGAAAGATCTGACCCTGATTACGGTTTTCACAGTCAGGGAATTTCACAAAGTCAAGGAAAACCTGGAAATGTCAGGGAAAAATTGTAAATTTAGCTTCATAGCTTTTTGGAATAGATTTGACCTTTAGAACAACAAATTTTGCCTAAAAACTATTTCAACGTATGTCCTTTTTGCTATATCGCATATTTCATTTGTCAGGTTTTACTCAAACGTGTCAGGGGAATCAGAGATTTGTCAGGGAATTTCATTTTCTAAATTGTGTGGCATTCCTCCTGATGGTGTTTATCATCGGATAACATTCTTTCTTCAGATGCTGAGTGTTCTAGCATACGATTCGAGCGAGAAAGTTATATGCAATCCAACGATTCTTTTACAATCTGCAATACGGTGGGAAGTTGAAGTATCGCAAATGGCATCACCAGTTTCTGAAGGAGTTTCATAGTCCTCGGCCGACCTGATGAGGTTCTAAGCCCTCCGCCATTGCTATTATTTAGATTCTTATTCTAGGAATTATTTGTTCTGGAGTCTATCGTACTTTTCAGTTCTGTCAATTGTCAGACACATTCAGAATATACGGACACAATGAAGACGCACGAAACGCGGAGATGAATTTGACTGCATTATGCAATTTGGACCTATAAATTCTGGCTCTCCTGGAAAGACACTTATGTGCATAGGGAAATTAATGGTACATACGTTGTTTTTAAACCGGGCTAGAATTTATAGTTCCAAATTGCAAAATGTAGTCCAATTAAGGGATGTGATTTAAAGAGAAATCTTCTACTAACACAAAATTCGTCCATTATCACGTTTTAAACGCTTGAACGGCATCCACCAGACTCAGTGAAACTTCTCTTATCATCTGACGTTTCTTACTCTTCTGTTCAGTTTTATTTATTTAACAGTGAAGGCTGAAAATCGTTAAAAATATGGCCCTAAATCTAGGTATCAGCGTGATGGAATAGTGCTGGGTCCACACTTTTCTACGGGGGCATCACGGCCGAAAATTTTCCTTACCTTAAAAAACTTTTACGAAAATTTAGAGGGTCAGAGAGCATAAAGTAATAATTCCTTAGAACGTTAGTTTCGGACTTGCGACTCTCCTTAATGTAGGAGTCTTGCGAGATTTTGAAACAAATCAGCCCTCTCTATTGAAATACATGGAGTTCTTGTAGAGAAGAATGCCCAAAAATGTTCTGAAATCCTCAATAAACAAAACGAAAATCTGCACACACCCATTTCGCCGTCCTAAAGTGGGCTCTATTGCTGAAATTTCAGCACATCCAAGAGCTTTGTAGCGTATAGGTACGCGTATGTGCCCTTTTTCCGGAAAAGGCCGAAATGGATTCCTCGTATCCTAATGTACCAACGCCCCGAGTTTCAGCTTAATTAATCAATTTTTGGAGCTAAGAGACCAAATTTAGTGAGGCTAAGTCAGGGGTCACAGGTGTATTTCATCTATTTGCCTCTGGGTACGGTCGCCGCGACGTTGAGGGGCAGGCAGGTGATGGGATGGGTACTGATTGGTATCCCTCACTACAGATGCACCGCACTGATTCTGCTAGTCAATGCCAATATCATCGGGTTGCAGTGATTGTCAAAGCGTTGCACCGGTCACACGTGAATTTGTGGAGTTAATAATAATTCAATGTTTAATAGTCTCTTATTGTGAGTTTAAATTTTTCGAGTTTTTCGCGTGTTCCGCTGTCTTTTTCATTAATAATGGCCGAAGATGATCCATCCGCGCGTTCGCGATCGAAATTATTACTAATTTATGTGCCAGAATTAATTATTTTCGTTTAAAAACTCGTTAAATCTCGAGAATTCAGCTTTAAAAGCCAAAACCTATGACCACCGGTCCATTTCCGGAAAAAGGGCACATAACGGAAAATTTTAAAAGATTCCTCTCACAGCACTGAAAGGAGTGTACCTAAGTTTTACCAGTGGTCGTCATTCATTCTAGGGTGTATGCACCATGATATCAGTGCTACAGTTCCGATGTATGTCATCATCAGTGCCCAGAAAGTAAGGATGAAAACTTCAAATGCGTTTTTCTCACAATGCGTTTTTTCGGTATGTGCCCTTTTCCGGAAAGCTCCCCAACGGAGTTGTTGCATGTGTGAAGAATTTGCGATTTGACTACTGATTCTCATGTAAAATTTCGCGAGAAACACGATGGTGCCACTAGTTTTCTCACTTTTCTCTGAAATCAACTCCTAAGCTCAAAAAAAGCCCTCAAGTTGAGGCTAAAATGGAGGGGATATCCCACGGCATCCTGAGAGTCCAAATCTATACATCAAGACAAACTCTCCATGCAAAGAGGGAGCGAATACATTGACAAGGCTGCCACTTTATTTGGGGACTCTAAAACTGAAAACACGGCATCACTGCCAATGTATTTGCTCTCTATCTTCGCATGGAGAGTTTGTCTTGGACTCTCAGGATAGCGTGGGATATCCCCTCCATTTTGGCCTCAACTTGAGAGCTTTTTTTGAGCCTGCACTGGAAAAAAAGAAACACTTTGGATTTAGAGTCCAGACGCTCAAAACATCGACAAGAAAAAATACTCTTGATTCAATCAGATTTTTGCGTAAATCAAGAACCAAGCCTCTGAATTTGAGCGGATTTCCTTTTGATTTAAGCTTAAATCTGCTTGAATCAAGAGTCCTTTTTCTTGTCTATGTTTTCAAGAGTCTGGATTCTAGATCCAATGTGTTTTTTTCCAGTGTAGCGTGGGGGATATCCCCTCCATTTTGGCCTCAAATTGAGAGCTTTTTTTAAGCTTGGGAGTTGATTTCAGAGAAAACCAGTGGCACCATCGTGTTTCTCGCGAACTTTTACATAAGAATCAACAGTCAAATCGCAAATTCCTCGCACATGCAACATCTCCATTGTTGAAATTTCAATACAAAAAGCTCTGTCTCTTGGTTATGTTTCAGCACTGATACATACGAAGCAGCAAACCTGCGGGAACAGGGGGCGACGCAGAAACGGTCAAATGGATCAACGACGGGATAACTGAATGAAATTCCTCACACATGCAACATCTCTATAGTTGAAATGGGCCTGTTGCACCAATTTTTTTTATTGCTTTAATCGAAAGACCTAAGGCTCCTGATGTCACAGGAATTTTCCCGGAGTTTTTTGATCACCGGAAACCCCCAAAAAATCAACTTAAAAACGCCTCAGAATTTGGATTTTCAAAACGGTCGTTTCGGGTCCGCCATACTTGTGACGTGAAATGATATGACAGACCTGGTTTCTTCATCACTTACAATGTATTTTCCCGTAAGGAAATGGCAGCCGCTTTTCAAATGCAAATATCGAGTCAATCGCTAATTTTTTGATCAAAATTGAAAGCAGAAATGGATTCCTCGTACGTTTAAATGGTTAAAACCTTCATTTGATAAATAAGAACCGACGGGATAAACCCTATTTTTAAGGAAGACTGTAGTCAATGGGCGATTGTTTACATCTGCTTAGTGATAACAGATATGGACATTAGCTCAATATTTGGTCATTTTCATGAGTTTTCACTTGTTTGTCACTATTTGAAGGTAAGTTTATTTTGTAAAGCAATTGTCTAGTGTCTTAGGATCATGTTAAAAGCTGTAAAGGTATACTTTGTTACTTATTAATTCAGAACACACTCCGGCAGTCCAATGCTCAAACCTGGATGTAGCGAGTCAGTTGTTATATCTTACTATTTCACCCTTTAATGCTTCACTGAAGACACCAAAATGATAGTATCTATCATTGATGATAAAAAAAACTTACCTTTGACAATACTGATGAGATGAGATGAGGAGACCGGTATGTTTTAGCTGGAGGCAAGGAAAGTAGACGTAAGATCCTTCTTCGATTACCAGACTTTATCGATAAATTTTTCTGTATAGTGTTAAATTTAAAACCCACAGGATTTTAAAATAACATAAGTTTATAAAACGTGGGAACGTTCTGAATGATATTGAGATGTTTGTTGAAGAGTTAAGAATGATTTACACGCATTGAGAGAACATCCATGGTTTGAGCGTTGGACTGCCGGAGTGTGTTCTGAATAAATAAGTAACAAAGTATACCTTTACAGCTTTTAACATGATCCTAAGACACTAGACGATTGATTTACAAAATAAACTTACCTTCAAATAGTGACAAACAAGTAAAAACTCATGAAAATGACCAAATATTGAGCTAATGTCCATATTTGTTATCACTAAGCAGATGTAAACAATCGCCCATTGACTACAGTCTTCCTTAAAAATAGGGTTTATCCCGTCGGTTCTTATTTATCAAATGAAGGTTTTAACCATTTAAACGTACGAGGAATCCATTTCTGCTTTCAATTTTGATCAAAAAATTAGCGATTGACTAGATATTTGCAGTTGAAAAGCGGCTGCCATTTCCTTACGGGAAAATACATTGTAAGTGATGAAGAAACCAGGTCTGTCATATCATTTCACGTCACAAGTAGTCACAAGCATAGAATCCACCAATCACAAGTGTGGCGGTTGAAAAGCGACAGTTTTGAATGGGTCGGTTCCAAAAACAGCTTTTTTTGAGTTTGAGAGGTCATTTCAAGGTTTTTTAGTAGCGCCATCGTCCTTTTCGTAAAATTTGCCATAAGAATCAGGCATCAATTTGCAAATCCCCGCACCTTGCAACAGGCCCATTTCAATACATCAAAAAGCTCTGTCTCTTGGTTATGTTTCAGCACTGATACATACGAAACAGCAAACCTGCGGGAATAGGGGGCGACGCATAAACGGTCAAATGGATCAACGACGGGATAACTGAATGAGAGGGAAAACAAACCACATCTCGCGCGCTACGTCCGTCGCGTCGCGGCGGACGTTTCATTCACCCCACCAGCGCCGGCGTCTGCCGCATCCATTCCACTCTCCAAGCGGCCAACCCGATTTCAGTTTACTCCGGAACTTCGTAGCGCGTGGAACCCGCGTCGCTCTCTTCTCCGTCGCGCCAACAGGTGCCTGCGTAGTGCTATCGAACCTTAGGATTTACTCGACTTGTGTTCTATTCCAAGTGCCCAAAAGTATCGAACCTTAGGATTTACTCGACTTGTGCTCTATTCCAAGTGCCCGAAAGTACAAAACAGTGCCTTTTTTCGTTTTGTGTTCTGTGAATCGTGCCCAGGATTATCGAGTGTTGTGTTTGCGGTTTCTTTCCGAGGAAGGAACCGGTGTGCAAAATATTTTGTTGATCGTGCTCTCTCGCTTGTTTTTTTGGCGGATTGGAGGTGAATTTTGGATAACTTTGAAAACAGGTACGGCCGGGATTCAACCGCAGATTTTTTGCTTTTTCGATTATGTATTTATATATTTAACGCTAACAAGCGTGGAACCGGTAGTGGCGCTGACAACAGGCCTGATTTCTTTGCCTACACCCAACTCTCCTCAAATGAGGTTCTCGCTAGTATGGGAAAATCCATACAAAAAATATTAGTGACCAATACCTCGTAAAAAACTGCATTATATATTTACATTTATACAATTATATATGTAAATTTACCTCAAGCTTCCAGTCACAAATTTTCGCAATTTCTGCATACGTTTCGGCGCTAACACGGAGGCCTTCTTCAGTGCTTCCTAAACCTCACATAGGTATTACAAAATAAATATAATCCCGACGTTAAAATCACACAACGATTGTCCATTAAAATTAAATATATATATTAATATTCTGCGAGATAATTGGGCTATGTCGAAGGAGGTGTTCACGATCTCAGCTTCCATCTCACCGAAAAAATAAAATCATTACCGGTGCTTATTTTTTCGACTTTTCCCCCTTTTTTTGCTGTTTTACTAACTGCACTAAAATTGTCTCGAGTGATACGGAACAAGTACGTAACCGCAGATTTTTTGGTTTTTCTACTTGATACTAATCTCCGAGAATATTGCGTTTTGTCTAAGGAGATGATCACGATCTCAGCCTCCATCATACCGAAAAAATAATATCATCACCGATGCTACTCTCACCACTTGGCGTTTTTTTACTGCTCTTCTAACTGCCAAAAAATTATCTCGAGTGATAGGTAACATGTCTAGGTAACATGTCTGCCTACGCACCAACAAGAATTAGTTTTCACTGAACGGACCTATGGTTATCACTGAGAAGGTGCTAGGTCATTTTTCCTAATTTTTTTTTCCTACATCAGGTTTTCCTAATACTTTTTTCCTACTCGTTTTTTGTCCCATTACAGTAAGTCCTACGAGTGAGATGTCCCACTGGCTTTTTTCCTAAGGATGTTTGTCCTAATAATCCAATACTAATTGAAACGTAAACATGAGTAGAGTAGAGGGAAATGTTGCAGAAAGAGTAAAGTTTTCTCAGCGAGCCGAATGTAAATAAGGAGGAGGATGAAGCTCCACTACTTACGGGCATGCGGCCACAACTTTAACTTGTGAGGTACCTATGTTGTTTTTTACTTTCTCGCTCCCCCAGTTTTAAAATTGAATTTAGGACAAATGCCCCTAGGAAAAAAGCCAGTAGGATATCTCACTCGTAGGACTAATTGTGATGGGACAAAAAACGAGTAGGAAAAAAGTATTAGGAAAAATTGCAGTAGGAAAAAATGTTTTAGGAAAAATGACTTGCCACCACTGAGAAGGATTATCTGTATTTTTACTGAGGACACTCCAAGCTCAAGACCTAAAATTCGCAGTTATCTGCCGCTGTAACTTTCCAAATTCCAACCGAAATTTCAGGAATATTGTTTCTTGTCTTCAGCTTTCTGATAATGGACATAGCGTCTGGGAATTCGTCTTGCTGCATTTTGAGGAGCGTTGTTCATCCATCGGGTGTATTTTTACAACCTCTATGACTTGCCACTCATTCGATGCACGAAAGCACGTAAAATATCAAATACCGGAACGATAAGTAGTGTTCATCATGAGGGTATCTAATAATGCAACAAAAATCGCAACGAAGACTCAAAAGTCACGGAGCAATCGAATGAGAGTTTGAATATTGCCGATGAGCGTTCACCGCGCGCGGTTTCTATGATAATGACTACATGATAATGCTTCTTTTTGCGAAGCTCTATGATAATCTCAGAGAAATACCTCTGATTGAATCTCGACCAAGCAGCAACTGTTAGAAAATTCAAACGTGCAATTTTCTCATTACATGTAGTAGTTCGTGGCCGTGTGTCGTTTCAGCAACAACGATTACCGGATAGTGAAATGATCCATGAATATTCATTTCTCCCTAAGTGTTGAATGGTGCCTAAAATGAATCCCAACAATCAAGGTAGGAATCATTCAAAAGTTACGATTATTCAGCAGGATGTCGGATTTTCTAATTTAGCCCAGTTAAATAAGACTAAAATTAATGAAATTACATGGAATCGATTAATGTATGGAATCGATTAATTTCTTTAGCCTTCGTAAACTGTAACTGCAGGGATACTAAAAGCTACCATTAATCATTGTTGCTAATTTTATCGTAAATTTAAAGTCCTCCTCTGGCGTACGTTTTTCGTTGTGAACCCGGAAAAATAATGCTTTCAATTATTAAGTCACAAATATTTGATGCGCATTGGGCAGAGTTTACCAGAATCAATCTGAACACATTTCACATTGCGTAGTTCTTTTCCGCGTTGTTTTCTTCGTCAAATAGAAAATTGAACAACGGAACGTCTTGAGACTTTCCTCGAATTTCCTGCGGTTTTTCTTGGTCATCTACCAATTGAAGTCAGCATGTTGCTAATTTTGCTGAGGAACAAATAAAACACGCGATGTGCACAGGCTGCTTCTGGGTAGTTTTCCATCCAAATCTTATTCGAATCTGCCGTGAATTTCATTTTTCCGAAAAATGTCCAAATCATTGATAAAGCCCCATCGACCTCTCCGCCAGTTTAGGGCCGCAACCTGTTTAGTTTCCAGCAGAACTAAATAATTCAGTCACAATCTGAGTGGAGGTTAACGCTTTACCTTTCAACCCTATGAACAAATGTTCAAGAAGCTCTCAGATCATGGCCCAATTATGTGTGGTGGTCACCGGTGGTCCTACCTTTTGCCACACTGGCGTTTTTGTAGTTTCTAAGGAGAGGCCAGAGAAATCGTGTTGACCAAAGTTCGGATGTCCATGAAACATACTCGAGGAAACTTATGGTTTACCTGGAGAAACTTGCCTCTGTGACGTAAATAAAGTTACATGAATGCATCATATTAATTTTCCGTCGTATGAACCATCCTCCATTTATGATTTAAAAGAGGAAATCGGTGCGGCGCTCTTCTTTTTTACGTAGATCAGATTTTGTGTAGTGGTCCATTTAAGTTCCAAGCGCATTGAGACGGTAATATTCCACCGACAACAGTTTGCAACCACATATAACTCAAGATAGATCTCGAAATTTGAACTGAGTTTAACATTAACCCACCAGAAGTCAGAACAAAAGTTCCGTCAAGTTTGAAGCGAATAAATGAGGTCTGAAGTTTACTATTAGACTCAATGTCAAGGACTGTGATCAACGATTATTTTCATTAAAAAAAAAAATGTCTCGACTTTTAATATCTGGAAGAAGAAGCTCTATAGTACTTTACTCGTAGTGAGATTTAAAACTACTCCAAACTTATGTTTTTCTTCAAAGCCGCGACTTGGTGCGTTTCTGTTAAACTGGAGACAGTCCGTCTAGGGTACCTGAATGCGAGAGAATTTAGACAGCCGAACACCGTATGATAGAACACCGAAAATCCGTCAGGCCTTCACCGATTTGACGTATTTGAGGCCACGTATTTGCCTTAGTTTTTTTTCTGAAATTACTTATTTTTGCGGACAAAATGAAGAACCAATGAAATCGTTCAGTTTTCGGCTACCTACTCCTAATGAAATCAAATCAAATACTGCGATATTAACCGATTTTCACTACAATGATACGCGCACTCAGGCCGTGCTTTATTGAAGATCAATGTGCAAGAGTATGTCTGTATTATTAAACATTTTACACTAAACATGTTTCACATTTACCATTTTTCCACTATGTCAAGGTAAAGTTTTTATAACTATAAACATCCCCTCGCAAGTTGTTCTTCATTGAAGCATGACCTGTATGAGTTCGCATATCATTGTCGTGAAAATCGGCTAATTCGATTCGATTTCATCAATGAACATCCTTGGCCTTCTTATAGTTTGATGTTGGAGTCTGAAGATCGGTAGTGATATTTTGTGTGTTAGAACACTGGAAAAAAAACACACATTGGATCTACAGTCCAGACTCTTAAAAACATTGACTAGAAAAAGTACTCTTGATTTAATGAGAATCTAGCCTAAATCAAGAACCAAGCCTCTTAATTTTAGCGGATTTCGTCTTGATTCAAGCAAAAATTCGATTGAATCAAGAGTATTTTTTCTTGTCGATGTTTTTAAGAGTCTGGGCTCTAGATCCAATGTGTTTTGGCGCGTATACGTAGTATACCGCCTTTGCGATCGTTTCGACCCCCCCCCCCTCGATACAATAACCGAGTCCCCTAGTTCCTTACCGAAAAGTGACTACCGCGAACTTCTGAGATTTTCCAAAGCGTGTAAAAAGNTGTTGGAGTTCACTGCTTGTTTTTTTTTTTTCCTTTTTTTTTTCTTTTTTTCAGTGTGTGTTGGAAGGTTGGCTGCCCTTCGGGCCCCACGCTCTCCATGAAGCGAGCTGTCCAGTGTCCACACTCTCGCTATACATGCACTCCAATTCCGTCCATTTCGACTGATAGTGGGAACTCACCAGTAAACTAGGATTCCCTGCTCGCACGAAAACCCGGAGGTATTTACATAACTCCGGTGACCCATTTTACAGTGAGCCGAGCGGCATTATCGGGCCGGGATGCATGCCCGTATCGCTGTTTGCTCTTCCCAAGCTCCACTCCGGGCGCCGCAGCCGGAAATTGACCGATCGAAAGTGAAAATACTCTCACTGGCCCGGGTCAACAGCGGGGTCGTTGATATCATTGCTCGGATCGATTACTAATACGCTTGAAATGTCAAGCCCCTTCGATTAGACCGGCTTATTGTGAGTACGTTCACTGATAGTGTCCCTTGTTCGCTTCGCGAGAGCTGCCTCCAGGGCCGTATTCAGGTCTCGTTGGCCCTTAAACAGCCCCTTCTCTTAAGGGCTGTTGCTTCTTGGGGTGGAAGTTATTGATCATCTTGTTGTGGGGGGAAAAAAGTGCGAAGAATGTCCATCTCTGGGCTGAAAGCCTTTGAAGCTCGATACTTTTTGGGTTAAGCGTGTTGTTCTATGTAAAGGTGCAGTCATAGCTAAGCACCAAATTCTGGGAA